CCTAACATTAGATAGACAAGAAAGATGAGATTCAATTCAATTCGATTCAAGTTTATTTGTATAGCGCTTTTCACGATACAAATCGTTGCAAAGCAACTTTACAGCAAATTAAGTTTCTACAATATTTAGTGGTAGCTTATCAGTGGTGACTGTCAGTTAATGTACATATGGCAGAAATGTACGGAAAAATCAATTTAAGACGTAATCAAACAGACGATGAACACTATTAACAGCAATTATTATATGATGCAATCAAACTTATAGCAAAATGTGGTAGTTCTGTATGTTGTTTCAGGGTTGGCATCATCTGAGGTCCTCTGAGGGGTTGGCATCATCTCTTCTCAGGTGTTCTGGATCCAGACTGAAGCTTGTGTAAATCCTAGTTACCACGGGATGTCAATCCTGTGGCAAAAACAGAGAAACAAATAGGGACATAATTAGCGTAGCTGCTGTTCCAACCAAGCAAAATTGATTTGTTTAACCCAAACTAAAGAATAATAATGTGCATTTGATCAGATATAACTGCAGTCCAAGATTATGAGATGCATTATTTGAATTCTTTGGCCAAAGAGATGTGTCTTTAATCTAGATTTAAACAGAGAGAGTGTGTCTGAACCCCGGACATTATCAGGAAGGCTATTCCAGAGTTTGGGAGCCAATTGCGAAAAAGCTCTACCTCCTTTAGTGGATTTTGCTATCCTAGGTACTACCAAAAGTCCAGAGTTTTGCGACCGTAGGTAGCGTGATGGATTGTAGCGTGGTAGAAGACTAGTAAGGTACGCAGGAGCTAACCCATTAAGGGCCTTATAGGCAAGTAATAATATTTTGTAACTGATACGGAACTTAATAGGTAGCCAGTGCAGAGACTGTAAATTTTTTTTTTTTTTCTTGTAAAAAAAAGATTACCTGAACGGATTGTGTTGATAGCGAGAGGTTTTTCTCAGCTATTTGTCAACATGGTTGGGATTACTCAGACACTCGATACAGTGTCAAGTATGCGGGAGCAGTGCGGGTTAATAAACAATGCTGGAAACCTAATGACCGCTTCACTCTATTTATTACCTTCTCATTAAAATGGAGACAACACTCGGGCTAGATCAGAGCCGTGCAATCAATCAGAGCGGAATTAACTTTCTCCTTTGTGCTGACATCACACGATGTGTTAGAGCTTGTGTATGAGTGAAGTTGCCAGTTGTCCTTTATAATGCGGAACCGTATCTAAGGTAACAGTGTTGTGTGCTATTTGAATGCTTTTGGCCTTTAATTTCTTCAAGTTTTTTCAGTACCAATCAAAAGTTCCAGGTTGCTTTTTGAAAAATTTTTTTTTTTAAACTGAAACTGTTTTGTAAATTAATATATATTAAAAGGTAATTTATTCCTGTGATGACAAAGCTGAATTTTTAGCAGTTATTGCTCCAGTCTTGATCTTTCAGAAATCATTCTAATATGCTGAATTAGTGCTCAATACATTTTTCTTATTATTAATGTTGAAAAAAAGTATGTGGAAACAATGATCATTTTTTTTCCATGATTCTTTGAATAGAAAGTTCAACAGAACAGCATTTATTTGAAATAGATTTTTTCTAACACTATAAGGGCCAGATTACTAAACAGGGCAAATTAACGCTAGAGCGCAATTCCATAAAAGTTCCGATGGGAGGGGAAAATTCTCCAGGTGATTTACTAACAATGCGCGCATTAAAGTACACAGATGCAGCCAGATCATTTCCATAATGACCAGCACAATCTACCAAGAGCAGCGCAAATTACCACCTGCTTTAAGACGTGCTTTTTTTGGGCGTAAAATATTGGCGCAAATGCCAGTAATTTGACGAGCGCAAACAGTAGTAGACCACATTGCATGATTCATTTTAATACTCTTCCATAAATTTTGCGTCTGAAAGGGAAACTCCAACAAATGCATATTCAGTAAGGTCAGGTGCAAAAAATAACTGCGTCCATGCCTTTTCAGCACCAATTCTTCACTGCGCGTCTTTAGTAAATCCTGACAATACTATTTTAACGCCAAAAGACAGTTTGCGCTGGCGCAAGCTGTTAGTAAATCTGGCCCAAAATGTCTTTACTGTCAGGTTTGATCAATGTAATGTGTCCTTGCTTAATAAAATTATTAAATATTACAGTATTGAATATTAATTTTAAAAAACTGACCTCATACTTTTGAACAGAGTGTACGTACATTTTGTTTAAAATGTCAGTAGTCATGCATGTTTTACTTAAATTTCAGATGGAGATTAAGAGTATTCTATATTTTCCCAGAATAGGAACAGAGCAGTATGCATTTACTGTATGCTACAAAACTCAATACACAGACTCCATATATTGATATCTTGACAAACAGCCATTTTTGGCCCCGCCTGTTTACATTTACTTGAGACAAAATTGACTGTTTACATTAAAACCATGCCAAGATGACCAAATAAAAAATTTATTGTATGGTTACAACTGATGTCCCAAGTCAGACAAGAACACTAAAGCCTGTATGCATAGTCAAGCATATCATGCTGGAAATGACAGGTATTAAGTGTGTTTTTTTTCTGTTGCTTATTAAACTCCATTGTCTTCCAGGGCTCGTTCAATGCGTGCAGCCTGTTGTCATTTCCACTGTAGAGACCTTTCATCCCAGCTGTACCCACTCAGACATAAATCTTTTTCTTGTAAGAGAATATTAATCTGGTGTCTCTGGCTCTCTGTGCTCATGTCGTCTGTTCCTTTTCTTTTTGTGTCTTTGTTTCCATGCTGCTTTTTGTCGTCTTGTCAGATCACCAACCGCTACGTCTACGACACGGTGCTGCTGCTGGCCAACACTTTCCACAGGAAGCTGGAGGACAGGAAATGGCACAGCATGGCGAGTCTTTCGTGCATCCGCAAGGGCTCCAAACCCTGGCAGGGTGGCAAGTCTATGCTGGATACCGTGAAGAAGGTACAGTACTGTACAGGACTTTACGACAAACATGACCTGCTGGCCAGGATCAGGCTACTTGACAGAAATGTGCCTTGCAAACTTAAACGTTTGGTTTTCTGTGAAGTATTGAATATTGATGTTGTAAAATCGACTGATTTAAACTTATTACCAAGGTAGAGTTATTCAGACATAGATTGTGAAATTGAGTAGTCATAGTCTTGAAAGCATTTTTGGTAACACTTACTTAAAGCCTTTATGTATAATGCATTATAAAGGGTTATTAAAGGGTATAATGCATTGTAATTATTCACAATGTGCATTGTAATACATTATATCTTGTTGTAAATAATTATAACTGAATTTAAAATACATAGTGTAACAATAAATTGATAATATATGGTTACAATTATTAATGAGATTGTACAATGCATTATAAGGTATATTACAAGGCATAATTAATGCATTAAAACTACTTTTATAATGCATCACACATAGAGGCTTTAAGTAAAGTGTTACTGGATTTATAATTTATGAATTTATAGCTGTCATAGGTAACATTTATTTTTATTAGTGTTTTATATTTAATTTTTACATTTACTTTTATTAACAGTATTATTGTATAAGAAACTACTCTTCCATAAATTTTGCGTCTGAAAGGGAAACTCCAACAAATGCATATTCAGTAAGGTCAGGTGCAAAAAATAACTGCGTCCATGCCTTTTCAGCGCCAATTCTTCACTGCGCGTCTTTAGTAAATCCTGACAATACTATTTTAACGCCAAAAGACAGTTTGCGCTGGCGCAAGCTGTTAGTAAATCTGGCCCAAAATGTCTTTACTGTCAGGTTTGATCAATGTAATGTGTCCTTGCTTAATAAAATTATTAAATATTACAGTATTGAATATTAATTTTAAAAAACTGACCTCATACTTTTGAACAGAGTGTACGTACATTTTGTTTAAAATGTCAGTAGTCATGCATGTTTTACTTAAATTTCAGATGGAGATTAAGAGTATTCTATATTTTCCCAGAATAGGAACAGAGCAGTATGCATTTACTGTATGCTACAAAACTCAATACACAGACTCCATATATTGATATCTTGACAAACAGCCATTTTTGGCCCCGCCTGTTTACATTTACTTGAGACAAAATTGACTGTTTACATTAAAACCATGCCAAGATGACCAAATAAAAAATTTATTGTATGGTTACAACTGATGTCCCAAGTCAGACAAGAACACTAAAGCCTGTATGCATAGTCAAGCATATCATGCTGGAAATGACAGGTATTAAGTGTGTTTTTTTTCTGTTGCTTATTAAACTCCATTGTCTTCCAGGGCTCGTTCAATGCGTGCAGCCTGTTGTCATTTCCACTGTAGAGACCTTTCATCCCAGCTGTACCCACTCAGACATAAATCTTTTTCTTGTAAGAGAATATTAATCTGGTGTCTCTGGCTCTCTGTGCTCATGTCGTCTGTTCCTTTTCTTTTTGTGTCTTTGTTTCCATGCTGCTTTTTGTCGTCTTGTCAGATCACCAACCGCTACGTCTACGACACGGTGCTGCTGCTGGCCAACACTTTCCACAGGAAGCTGGAGGACAGGAAATGGCACAGCATGGCGAGTCTTTCGTGCATCCGCAAGGGCTCCAAACCCTGGCAGGGTGGCAAGTCTATGCTGGATACCGTGAAGAAGGTACAGTACTGTACAGGACTTTACGACAAACATGACCTGCTGGCCAGGATCAGGCTACTTGACAGAAATGTGCCTTGCAAACTTAAACGTTTGGTTTTCTGTGAAGTATTGAATATTGATGTTGTAAAATCGACTGATTTAAACTTATTACCAAGGTAGAGTTATTCAGACATAGATTGTGAAATTGAGTAGTCATAGTCTTGAAAGCATTTTTGGTAACACTTACTTAAAGCCTTTATGTATAATGCATTATAAAGGGTTATTAAAGGGTATAATGCATTGTAATTATTCACAATGTGCATTGTAATACATTATATCTTGTTGTAAATAATTATAACTGAATTTAAAATACATAGTGTAACAATAAATTGATAATATATGGTTACAATTATTAATGAGATTGTACAATGCATTATAAGGTATATTACAAGGCATAATTAATGCATTAAAACTACTTTTATAATGCATCACACATAGAGGCTTTAAGTAAAGTGTTACTGGATTTATAATTTATGAATTTATAGCTGTCATAGGTAACATTTATTTTTATTAGTGTTTTATATTTAATTTTTACATTTACTTTTATTAACAGTATTATTGTATAAGAAACAAAAACAATTATATTAATATTTTATTTCAGGGCTCCAGACTGCGACCAAATGGTCGCCTTTTGTGACCATTTCTAAAATTTGAGTAAATTTTGTGAGAGGTCACACTGGCGCGACCAACTCACGCTGCCATTTCTGTCGCATATGAGAAACATCAAACGGCAAACGAAACAAAAGCATAACAAAATCCCGCTACTCGTTTGAGCTGTGCAGCACGGACCGTTTATCAGCTCGGATCACAACGCAAACAAACTGGTCCGAGCTCAGAACAGATTTACTCCGGAACTAAAGTTGATTTTGGGACGCTGTTACTGCACAGCGCTGCGAGATTCAGCGAGAAGCGTTTGAATTCTGCACAGAAATCTCTGTTATAAACAGATCAAACGGCGCTGACATAGAAAACCAGAAGCTTTAACGCTAACTGTAACCATGGTGTTGCAGAAATAGTCAAATGTTATTACATTATTCATTTCAGGGTTTGTACAACCTTTTGAGAGAGAAATTCAAGCAATTTTCAATGACTTACAAGCATTTCACACAACTGTTTCCAGCACTTTGAAGCTCCTAAATGATCCAATTTGAATGTTATAAATATACTGCCGTGAACAAACACTTATATAAAATTAAAAAAATACAACAAATCACCATTTTAACCTTTAGATGGCAGCAGAGGAGCACTTATTGGTTTATTACTCATTCATTTATACTTTTTCCTTTATATTTTGAAATTATAAAATAACAATTTTAAAATCACTATTATAAAATATCAAATAATCAGATTTTGTCAGAGTTTCGCTCTTTTTTGTGCATGAAGTAAAAAACGTCACAAAGTGCTTTGAAAAACGTCTCGGGTTACGTCTGTAACCCTTGTTCCCCGAGAAAGGGAACGAGACACTGCGTCGGTAACGACACTAGGGGAAACCCCTCAGCGTAGCGCGTCTGAAGCATGAATGAAACTATTCCAATCCTGATTGGTGTTGCGTCATGACGTAACATGTGACGGCATAGTCGGAAGCTACAAAGGGACGCCGGCACACAACAGAGTCAGCTTTTGCGATGAAGCAAGCCGCTCCCAGGCAAGGAGAGGTGTGGCAAAGAGACGCAGTGTCTCGTTCCCTTTCTCGGGGAACAAGGGTTACAGTCGTAACCCGAGACGTTCCCCCTCGAGGGAACTCACACTGCGTCGGTAACGACACTAGGGGAACGGATACCCACTATGCCACACCAAAACATGCCTGTCCTAGTGTGAAGCTGAACCAGGCACAACTTAGGACGAGAGCACTCGTGCACCCGGCGTGGAGGGAAGGTTCAGGCTATAAAACCTGATGAAAGTATGCGGGGTGGACCACCCAGCCGCATCGCAGATCTCCTGCAACGGGACTCCTGACAGGAGGGCCCTAGAGGACGCCATGCCTCTAGTAGAGTGGGCCCTCAAAGCCACAGGTGAAGGCAAACCGCGTACCTGATAGGCCAAGGCAATAGCCTGAACAATCCAATTACTAATTGTCTGCTTGGAAGCAGGAAGTCCCTTCTTGGGTGATCCAAAGCACACCAACAACTGTTCTGACCTCCTCCAATGAGAGGACTTCTGAATAAAAATGTTCAATGCTCTGACAGGGCAGAGCAGATGAAGCCCCTCTTCTTCCGCCGACACATGAGGCGGAGGATGGAAGGCCTGAAGAACCACCGGCCGTGCCCTATTAGATGGCACCTTGGGCACATAGCCAGGCCTAGGATGTAAAATGGCCTTAACTCCTCCAGGGGCAAACTCCAGGCAAGTCGGCGAGATAGCCAAGGCCTGGAGATCCCCCACTCTCTTGAGCGAAGTAATTGCCAGGAGAAAGACCATCTTAAAGGTCAGGTTCTTTGCCGTAGCTGACTCGAGAGGCTCGAAGGGGGCAAGTGACAGCCCTTCAAGGACCACAGCCAGATCCCAAGTTGGGACTCTGGAACGAGTCGCAGGCCTCATCCTCCATGCACCACAGAGGAAACGTACGACCAGCTGATGCCTCCCCAGAGGCCCAGCACCTAAAGGAGCGTGGAAAGCCGCAATGGCAGCCACGTACACCTTTAGTGTGGACGGGGTAAGACCAGCAGAGAAGCGATCTTGGAGGAACTCCAGCACTGAAGCCAGTTAACTGGGTCCAACCCACGCTCTCTACACCACGTGGAAAACACATTCCACTTTAGGCCGTACAATCTCCTCGTTGAGGGAGCCCTGGAACTGAGTATGGTCTTGATCAGTCCAGCTGACAAGCCAGCCTCTAGGTACTGAGCCCCCTCAGGGGCCAGACCCACAGTTTCCACAGCTCTGGCCGAGGGTGAAATATCTCGCCCCCTGCCTGAGACAGCAGGTCCCTCCTCAGAGGGATCTGCCACGGCTGGCCTGCCAGGAGTGACATGATATCTGAGAACCACACCCGGGCCGGCCAGAACGGGGCTACCAGCAATAGACTGACCCCTTCTTTCCGGACCCTCTCCAGAACTCCCGTGAGCAGAGCGATCGGGGGAAAAGCATACAGGCGTAGTCTCGGCCACGTCTGTACCATGGCGTCCAACCCCAGCGGGGCTGGATGCGTGAGAGAAAACCACAGTGGACAGTGGGTCGTCTCTCGAGACGCGAACAAATCCACTTCCACTGGGCCGAACCTCTCGCATATCGACTTCACCACCTCTGGGTGAAGTCTCCATTCC